AGTCCCCCATGAGAACAAGGGCTAGCTAGTCAGTAAATGAACACGTGACACATTCAATTAAAGTCCTTCAAAATTTCTTTTTCACTGCCTTCTATACCTGTTCATTTTAAAACATTTACTCCTAGATTCACTGTGCTGTTGTTCTTCATTCTCTTGATAATAATAATCCAAGGACCACGGTAACTTCCAATTCCTTTCTTCCTCATTTTTGAGTGTACTCTAGTCCCTTCTGATACTGAATGGATTCATTACTTCATGATCACAAGTAGGAAACTCTTCCCTAAGTTTGTGATGAAAATTCGCTTCTTGTTAAGCCTCTTATAAAATTATCTGAAGCCTGGTTTTGTTTTTACATCACCATTGCTTCCTCCTGCATGTTACTCTTGTACTGGCAACGTTCCTCTCTCTAAAAGACTGTTTAATCCTTCTGTCTGTAAGTCCCACCAGTTCAAGCCATGAGTTTGTCATGTATGACGAGTTACCAGGATCCCAGGCCAGTACTGCAAAAAAGGCTCCAGATGAGACAGGAAGCAGCAATACTGACTCAGGAGGTGGCATTCTTCCCTGCGAGACTGAGCCAGGACCTCTTTTAGTTTCTATCTGAACACATTTCAATGCAGATATGAAAAGCAGAGTTACTCATTTAGGTTGATATTCTTCCAATCAGTGATCTTTGGTTCCTCAACAGTTACACAGAGTTTGGCTGAACTCTGTTACATCAAACCGACCACAAACGTAGGCCAGACTGATTATCCAGCTGAAATCTAATGGCTGTGACCACACACTTTCTCTATGTGGTATGAGGGCAATTTTTTCTTCTGGATACCCATTTCTGTTCATCTGATTTGCAAAGTTGGGACATTTTCTTACCTTTTCATGCCACGCATCCAGACACACAGCTCAATGGAAAGCTGCAGTGCGCTTTCCTGGACATTGCTAGTTGGCTGTTGCTATTACAGCCATGCGTTACCATCCTCAAGTTCAACATCGCCAGTAACGATATCCTACCTAGGAGTTTATCCATCTGTTCAAAATGGAGCTATTCACTTCGTTCCTCAGCCATAGGTTAGAGCATGTCTTAATGTTAAATATACCTCCCACACTGCATGACCCCTTTACAGAACAGGATCATACTGAATCCCACCTCAATATATAGCAACCCTCTGTGTTTGACACCTCCTTCCATCAGTTTTGTCCGCTTTGAATCATGTGGCACAGAATACTATTTACAGGAACTTAAGGAGTTGCCATAGGAATAATTATTTTGCAGAAGATAAAGCATTATTCGTTCACACCAGCATAAGTATACACATTCTTTGAGTATGAAAGTCCTTTTTTAGCATGGGGCTTTTCATTAACTTTAAAGCTTGTTTGCTACAAAAAAAAAAATCACAGCCAAGCATGTCTCTCCCAACTCCAGCAAAGCAGTCAAATCTTAAAACATGGGCTGAATACAAGTAGAGCTATTCATGTAACTACAACAGAATCCACACCTATGTCAGTATCTCATTTTTTCTGGTATCCTAAGTCTACTATTTAACTGTTCTTCATACGCTGTAAGCACTTCAATTTTTTATTACTTTTATGAGTGTTTCTAAGAATAGACCAACCTTTTAGATGTTTTAGTCATCTAGTTTTCAAAATACAGATGAAAATTATGTTTTTGCATGGGACTCCACATCAATACGAGAGAATGTTTGGTTTCCTATACTTTTGCTTTTCTGCAGGAAAAATGTTCTGACTAAAAGCCTGACTTGCTCCAGCTTATCTTTAAAGACTCCCATTACAGTTTTGCTATCCCACATGATTTTCCCTTTAAATATCAAACTCCAAGTGCCTGGACTGCGTGCTGAGATGGAATCTCATATTGCATATGCGTATATCGCATATTGCATATATCACATATATGCGCCTATATAAATTATTTTAATTCACAAGCTCATAGAAGTCACACAGAAAAGCAGATCAGAACATGCCATAATTCAAATGTCATCCTTTCTTCAAATAAAAAGTTGTTTTCCCAAGCCACGTGCTGCATGATTTCGTGGCTTCTCTTCCCCACAAACACCCCCCCCCCTTTGCATTAGTATGAGACACTAGAAACAGACAATGCATATCAGGGTCCTCTTTTTTCTCTTTTGCTCCTAGCTGAAATGCCACTGAGGATTTGCTGAGGGCCAGGTGGCAGGAATAACAGGAACATAACAAAGATAGTGATACGAATGTAGAATTAGGCTAAAGAGTGTCTTATGCCTGGAAAAATACAGAGAAAAGTCTTGAGACTCAGTCTCCTATCAAAAAGTAACACACCTGCAATCTTCATCCAGCACAAAATACATCAACCACAACAAAACTGAGCAGATACTGTGCATTCTCAGAGCTGCCTGATAAGGAGGAGTTCATTAAGTAATGTAGCACATCCAGTATTTGCTGAAATGATCTGTACTGATCCCAACCTGAAGAAATTTGCCATCCTCCCCCAAAGAAAGAAATGCAACATCAGGAACCCCACCCCACTCCAAAACCTGATTTTGTGAAGCCAGGTAACTAACATCAATAATCAGAAACACCCTCCAAACTGCACAACAAAAAGAATACTTTGTATACAAAATCCCTTTTTTCCCTGTCTTCCCTCATGGAAATAAGCTTCCCTGACAAGAGTAAAGGAAACAACTTTTAATCAAACAAAGAGCCTGTGTGCATCAACAGAATAATAGTGACACTTGCTGCCAATCAGGGGTGTGGAGAGGTCAATAGATAAAGCGAGTCATGTAAACACCCTGCAAGTCAGTCACTTTGTGTGACAAATGGTTTCAGCTTGTCAGCAAAGCTTGGGTACTCCTTGCACTAAACACTTACACCAGCTAGACGGAGGGTGGGGGAATAACAAAAAAACTCCCACATATTCCTCTATCTCCCTCAGGAATAGTAGTATTTTCTTTGGGCTGGAGTTGGCTGAAAGTGCCTCTTCCATATTCCCACCACCCCCCACCACCCCCCTCCGCTCAAGTCCTGCACTAGGTTTATCTTTGTGGCATTCTTGAATTTTTTTCCCTGATGCAGACTGAATGTGTCCAACAGTCACTCAGCTGAGAAGCCTGGTTACTTTGCAACATTAGAATTTATACCACCCTTTACTAAGAGGTACATGACCCTGTTTCACAGGAGAACACCAGGCAGTAAATTTTTTCATATTCAAGTGCCCCCAAACCATTTACCTACTCAGTTTATTTTACCTGTAGTTTTACTCCAGCATGTTTCCACACAGCTGCTTCAGAGCTGGAAGACATCTAGATGCATCCATACAGCAATGCCTCAGTTAGTCGGTCCTACATAGACCCAGTGCTTTCTAGCTCAGCATGGCCCCACACTGATGCAGCACTGCAGCTTCCAGAGCCCCCAACACACATTGCAGCAGCACTTCTACAGATGCACCCATATGTTCAGAGTTCAAGTGCAATTGCAGCACTGATTCATTCCTTTTTGACCTCATATGAGTTTGATTATTAGGATTAAGCAGGCTACTGAAAGGTGAGTCTTAAGTAGATTACAGGGGATTTAAAAAACATGTAATTAGCCAGCTAATCATTATCTTCTCTTTGTGGAGAAAGGGGTGAAAGAGTCAGACTCAGAAGAATAGCTTAACTTTCGTTCTTTAAGTTGCCATTTTGAGGAGTACCTCTACCACAATACCAAATTCTGGCTACGAAGGAGTCTAGGCAGACTCCATGTCCAAAGCAGGATGGCAGGAGCTTATACAAAATGTTGTTACAAACACGACCTACCATCTTTACTAGCTCTAAACCTACCCTTTTCTAAGTAGGTCCTTGGTGCCCAAGGAGGGTCCTCCTCAGCATATGGATCACTGTACTCCACCACAGCTGCTTCCTCCTCCTCATAATCCTCTGGAGGTGGGGGTGGAGGTGGAGATTCATCCAACACTGGCTCATCCACAGGTGGTGGTGGGGGAGGAGTATCTGAAACTGAAAATAAGCAATAGTATAACCATGAAAATGTCTCTAGAACCAGGTTGAAGTAATACTCCCTATCCCAATTAGTTGCACTGGGACCAACAGTTAAAACTTGTGGAAATACACTAGAGAGAATAAAATTCAGAGAAGGAAGAATCGGGTTCCTCCAATAAAATTATTTCCTTTTCCCCTCCCTTCACAATTTCAGACAAACTTGCAGAGGCAGTAGAGAAGGCAGAATTCTGGCTATATACAGACAAATCCTTCATCCACTCAAAACAAAAGCCACATCCAGTAATAAATCATAGCACAAGGAAGCAGCAAACTTACTGTTTTCTTGAACTCTGGCCACAAATCCCATTAGCGGTAACTGTGGAGTTACCTGTAGGATGGAGGGGGGAGGAGGAGCAAGGGATGCTGCCACAGAAATTAAAAAGAGAGAGGCATTCAGTTAGAAACACAACAAAGCAGCAAACAGGAAAGTCGACATCACCATCACTCAGACAGTGTAGCAGTCTGCCAAGAAGCTGAGATAAAAAGGCTGACATTCAAAGAAAAATTGCTCAGGTGGTTTAAGTATATTCCTAATCCTTACTTCAAGGAGATTTCTCTATTTTTAAAATTTCCAACTCAGGTCTTTTTCGTAAGATTAAGAATCCATGCTGAAGTATTCTTCTGATCTGACTACGAGATTCCCTTAAGTTGAAGTTTATTACTACAGCAATATAGCACTTTATGAACAGACCTAACAAACAAACATATCAAGAGGACTCTCTCCCTATAATCCTCCACCTTTCAGATCAAATCGGTATTTATTGACTTCTGTAACAGCATCCACAAATCCTTAGTAATGAAAATGGATATAACTAGTTTCCTCCAAAACGTAAGCCAAAAAAACCATCAACTGAGGCAGTTATTTTAGGCGAAACAGAAAAAGACGCTTTTGAGAACTGAGCATACTGGGAAGTCACGGGACTTCTGACCTTATTGGTAGAACAGAGCGCACTGTGCTGCTGCCAAACAACGGGGCCTATTCCAGATGTGCTGCCTCGTTTCTCCTTCCCACCTGATTTCGCAGACCACTGCACTGAACTCGGAACAGCCCTTTTACTGGTACCAGAAGAGCTCTCTTGGTACAATACATGTGAATTCACATTTAAAGAATATACTCTCAGCCAGTTGCAAATGTTGTAACACTGAACTGTGGTCTAAGCCAGGAATGAAAGTTGCAGTTATTCAGTTAAGTTAAAAAAATAGCTAACTAGTTTTATCTAGTTTTAGTATCACTTTGCAAGAGTAATGCAGTAATATTCTTTAAGCAAGTTACAAGATTATTTTTCAGAAAGCACACCTCAGGAAAAGCACAACTAAATAATTTTCTTGTTAGTAGTGGCATACAAAAACATTTAGTCATGTCCAAAAGAATGAGGGAAAAAGGTCTACACTTCATGTACCAGTACATTTATTAAGCTTGCAGAACAGAACTAATTCCAGAGCCAGTAAGAAAACTGCCAGGTATGATGTAGTATTTTTCAGAATTCACATCATCACAACAAATGAAAAGAAATCCAGGGCATTTAAAATTCATGTCTCAAAATTTCTTCTGTTTGCTTATTTCAGTAACTATTATCTGAAGTGCTTTGAATTTCTTGTCACTCACATTCACATTCCTTTCACCATCACACATACCAAACAAAAAAACTCAATAGAGCAACCATCCTTTTTGTGGCAAAAATACCCTTGTACCTCCATATAAAGCAAGCTCCATTATCTCACCATTTAATTGATATTTCTTGAGAAAAATTGAAATACATTTCTAATTACACCTCCTTTGACTTGAATGACGAGACCTCTGAGAGTACTTATTCCTTCAAGTGTAACCACAGTAGCTGGAAAAAGATTCGGTCTTGCATTTTTTCAAAGCAGGAAAAGGGAACTTGAATTTCAAGTTCCTACTGAAATGCAGTAATATTCATGAATTCAGCATTCTTCTGCAACTATGAAGTCCCTGCCTTTTTAATTATATATGCTATAAAAATGTTCAGTTTCAAAATGTTTCCTCTATTCAATGTCAAATGGTTTCATACAATTCCTATCTATCATATGAGACTAGCTAGTTTCCTAGGTCCCTTCAGTGTACTTTGTTCGCGTGCTATATATATTTCTTTGAAAGAAATCACGAGGCTTTCCACGTAGAAAAATAAATCACTCTAGACAAGCACTCCAAGCAAATACAAAAAAATCCCTTAGTTTAGTTTGGGTTGTGTAGTTTAATCAAAATGGTGATGCGAACACTAGCTGACACCATTCCTTGTTTATCTTAACCATTTGGTTTGTGCTTCAGTCTACGCACAGTGCAGGGACTATCACCTTATATTGTCTCTATATGATATATAATGACTCTAAGCTAGTTTTGACCTTTAGGAGCCAATACATAAATATTTTATTAATAATGACTTTGTTTATAAAGTGCATCAGAAGAACTTTACTGTACCTCTGCTGTCTCAAAAGATGAGATAAACACCAGCTTAAACGTTTCCTCCCAGCTTCCTTCCATATAGACCATTGGTAGATTAAGAGTTCATCTGCACAGTTGCTGTAAATTAATTCAGAAATGCTCAAGAGCACCTTCCACTAGGTTGCTTCAGCTTAGTAAGAATTCGGCTGTACAAACACTGTGTAGTGCAGACCACCATCTCAGTACTTGCCCAGTTTCTCCCACAGGGTTTTTAGCCTGTGCTGAGCTCCATACTGCTTAGATACTGCTATCTAAGGTTGCAAAGTTAAAACACTTGTTAGGTGGCATGGCTGGCAAGAGTGGCTTTGGGACAGACATGTGCTGAGATCACTTAGGGTCTGCATTTCTTAATATTTTCTTTTCAGTTGTTAAAAAGGTCTCACCATGAAGTAGAGAAATTATATTCTCTACTATAGTATCTTTCATCCTCCTGTGAAGTGAATAAACAACAACGACTATGCCGACATATTAAAAAATGGAAGTGAAAAAAACAGTTACTGCTTTACTGCCAAACAGCCTGCAAAGAAGAACAAGCCATAGCTGGCACACTCCTCTGCCTGTTGCAAGGTCTCTTTTTCACCTCTTAGGTTTGCGTTTTCTCCCTCTCTTCAGGAATGCTGTGAAGTAATCGTGGCCCCTGTCCTGTCACTACTAACCCTGCTCCTTACAGACACAAAAGTCCCTCTTTTCTTGAGGTCTTCATCAATTATACATGCTTGAGCATCCTCTCCTTTCAAGGTCAAGGCCAAAAAAACTTGGTTTAGTATAACTGCAAAGCTAATAAATTCTGTATTCTGCTAGGTATATTTAAAAAAGTCTCTTACTACAATTGCTTATTTATGTTGTATCAAGTAAGCCAGTATAATTGAAGTATTTTGTTTGTGATTTACAGCTCAAGGGACTACTCACCATAATCATTATCTTCTTTTTGGGCACACAGACTGAATTGTGGTTATGTAACTTATTTAAAGTCTATTTGGCATCTTCTGTGATTACCTATTAACAATGCAATGGTAGCTTGCAGAGAATTGTCCCTTTGCTAAAGCAGAAATGCACAGCAGTTGTCAGAAACTCTCTGGATGTACCGAAAATCCTCTTTACTGCAAAGGTAATCCTGAAAGGTTTCTTTTATTGCTATTACCCTTTCCTTCTTGCCTACTCCCCTTCAGCCTTCAATATGTATATAATGTGCTTAACAAATACCACATATATCAGGCAACTGGACTGCAATTTAGTCATATAACCTCCTCCACCCACCTGTCTCCACCAGGACCATCCATTTCCTTCTCAAGTTAAGCACACACATCTCTTTGCAGGGTAGCTCACAAACAGTAATATTTGAACCTGATCAAATCCCTTAAATGCAGATTGCAGCATTTGACCTAATTCCAAGTTCAGTGTTCAATTTAAATTAAAAAAAACAACAAAACACCAAAAACCATCACAACAACAAAAACACAAATGCACTGTACTGCTTGCAAGTAAACATTCAATCTTGCTGGTAACAAACATTCAATCTTGCTGGAGCATGTCCAGAGAAGAGCAATGAAGCTGGTGAAGGGTCTGGAGCACAAGTCTTATGAGGAGAGGCTGAGGGAACTGGGGCTGTTTAGTCTGGAGAAGAGGAGGCTGAGGGGAGACCTCATCGCGCCCTACAACTATCTGGAAGGAGGTTGTAGCGAGGTGGGGGTCGGTCTCTTCTCCCAGGTAACAAGCGATAGGACAAGAGGAAATGGCCTCAAGTTGCGCCAAGGGAGGTTTAGATTGGACATCAGGAAAAATTTCTTTACTGAAAGAGTGGTCAACCCTTGGAACAGGCTGCCCAGGGAAGTGGTTGAGTCACCATTCCTGGAAGTATTTAAAAGACATGTGGATGAGGCACTTAGTGGGCATGGTGGTGTTGGGTTGACGGTTGGACTCGATGATCTTAAAGGTCTTTTCCAACCTTAATGATTCTATGATTCTAATAGGGCATTTCCTAACAAGGAACCTTCAGTATGTCTCCTGCATCTTTCTGTAGCTTTGTCAAAAAAGAAGGTCTCCCCTACTCTGGTATCAAAACCTTCACATCACATCAGAAGCACAGGGAAAAGGACTCCTTAGAGGAAAGGCTACTGCATTCTGCTTGACACACAGGACACGCCACTCCTCGTTAATATCTCATCCTGCTTTTTAAGACAGGTCGCCCATTAAAATAACATCACCTGTGGACTTAGATGACAAAGCTCCCTTGCATCCCATACCAAACACCACTGATGTCTCTAAGGTGTCTAATGCTTACCCTTGCATAACAAGTGCAATTTCTTGAACTGTCCGTTAATCAGAAGGAAAAAGCATACAAGATAAAGACTGATTAATGAAGAATCAGTGTTCTGGTGCAAAATCAAATACCCATCCCACACCAAAGCAGATAGATGACACATGCTGTAGTAAAGGACTAAAGCTTGTCTAATAGGGACTGTGAGATCGAAAGTAATTTTTTTGGCAACAAAGCCAGTATTGTCTTAAACTGCTTGCCATAATGGAAGCTGAATGCTCTGTACTTAGACTGCAGCTTTGGCATGGCTACCAGCAACATACTGGAAGTTACCTTAGACTAACTGCAAGATCCGCAATGGAGACAGAACACAAGATTTCACAGATCTGAAGGCCACTCTGTTCACCACTGTGTTGAATTCAAGAGAGCAGAAAAACTTTCTTACCTGGGTTCTGGTTATAAAACGGTCCTCCATTCATCTGGTTCTGAAGGCTTGTCTGTGATGTGATCGAAGGAGGACGCCGATATGGCAAAGATCCCCCTATTGTTGGGGGTGTGTGTCGAGATGCAGGCCTGTTCATGCTGTAGAACTGAACTGGGTGACCTAGGTTAGAAAGAGAAATGTATTAGGAAAGAGAAGAATGATGCCTGCCTTTTTTATATCTGCATTCAAGATTCAAAGGAAAGGTTTTCAGTTTTTTTAAGACAGCCTGTATCCTGGGAGCAGTCAGCCAGTTCAGCTGCCAGACTGGCAGGACACTGCATGTCTCAATAGCAACACAAAAAACAAGTCTCCCAACTCCCTGTACTCAGCACTGCTCACAAAAGCCAGTATGAAAACACAAAGGTATCTAAGCTACAAAGTTTCAAAATAGAAAGAAAATAACTCCCAGTTATTTTATATAATGTATTATAATAACTTCTTGCAAATTTAGTTATTTATAAACCTGCAAAAAACCCCACACTTAACAGTCCAGCAATTAAGCAACATACACATACAAACTAACTGTAAGCCATTTCCAAGATTCAAAGCCGTTACCTGCTACAACTGAAAAACACAATACTAATTATCTTAGTGCTGTTCAGGAAATATGCAGAGAATCATCTGGGGAGAAGAGAATGTTAGAAACTGCTTGAAGGATGGAATAAATGAAATCATACTCAAAAGACCCTCTTTCAGGGAGCTGTCAATTGAAACAACTCCTTAAAAACTTGCTCTCCATTTTAATCACTTCCCGTATCAAATTGTCCTGGTTTCGTCCGGGAGAGTTAATTTTCTTCCTAGTAGCTGGTATAGTGCTGTGGTTTGGATTCAGTATGAGAAGAATGTTGGTAACACACTGATGTTTTAGGTGTTGCTAAGTAGTGCTTACACTAAGTCAAGGACTTTTCAGCTTCCCATGCTCTGCCAGGTGCACAAGAAGCTGGGAGGGGGCACAGCCAGGGCAGCTGGCCCAGACTGGCCAAAGGGGTATTCCATACCATATGACATCATGCTCAATATATAAACTGGGGGGAGTTGGCCGGGGGGCAGTGACCGCTGCTTGGGAACTGGCTGGGCATCGATCGGCGGGTGGTGAGCAATTGCATTGTGCATCACTTATTTTGTATATTCTTTTATCATTTTTATAATTACTATTTTCCCTTCCAAACTATCTTTATCTCAACCCACAAATTTTACTTTTTTTCCCAATTCTCTCCCCCATCCCACTGTGGGGGAGGGGGAGGGAGTGAGCAAACGGCTGTGTGGTGTTTAGCTGCCTGCCGGGTTAAACCACAACAGTAATTGATCCTGAATCTAAGCAAGCAATAAATAAAGCAAGACCATTAAGCTATCTTCTGTGCTCACATAAAGTTCTCTGGCTTATATACTGTATATAACAGTAAACAGTAAACAGTAAACTAAGATTTGTTACACCCATATGGCTTATTACCCTCTAACTATTCTGCCTCCATCATTTGTGCTAGAGGTAAATTTTAGAGTTTGCAAGAAAACAAGGGAAGAAGGGATGGTCACTGTGGTTGAGGAGACATGCATGCAGGGAAGTAAACAGGGAAACAGAACAAATGAATGTGCAATTTTTTAAAAGCCTGCATTGTCCTCCACTATGTTTTGATTGCTTTGCAAAACTTCACACTAGGTCAGTAAATAAAATGCAAGTTGCTTGCTGTGTTACTTGCTTCTAACAGCAAATGCATGAACTAGAGATACGAATTCCTCCTGCTTTGTACAGATATGTACATCTCAAAAAATGCACTTTTTACAGATGAAGAAGAAGAACAGTTAAGAAGCAATCCACCAGGCTTTTTCAAATTTTTCCTACTGCCTCTTTCCAATGTCTCTGTCTCCCTGTTAGTTAATGTGCTGGTAGAAATTGGTGATGATTGGAGAGAAGGGAGGAGAGAAGAAACAGGGATAAGAGATCCTTAAAGACCAAAAACTACAACCTCATAAACGGTGAACTATCCAGTCTCTTCAAATACTTTATTTCAGAGAAGCCATGCAAGCAACCTCACTAATAGCACAGGGAAACAAAAGATCTTAAAAATAGCAAGTAACCTGAAATTTCTCTTATGGAATTGTGAATGTGAATTTATAGCCATTAAAATATTAATCTCTGCTTGATTTTGACTTGTCAAGAATACAGAAGCAATATGGCTTAATAACTGGGATACTGACAGTGCATCAAAAATGAAAAACTGATTGAGGCCCCATACGATATAGCTCATCTTCTAAACATGAAAGTAGTTTAGACATCAGGATCATCTTCTGATACCAAAATTCATTACAGTTCGGAAGCTTCTAGTCATAGTCATGGATTCTAGTGTAAGTATTTTCTAATTTTATATGAACCACAGCACCTTAAACTAAATATGATTTCAAGAACACTTCCGGCACCTGATGAAATTCTTACTAAGAGAGACCAACACTAATAAACACACAAACCAATTTACACCATTGTGATCAGCCTCCACTACAATGAAAAGTAACGAAGCACGTAGGAAGCTATATATGAATTTGGCTGTCTAAAAGAGATCTTTACAATGCAGGTGTAAGTTCTTATCAAAAGCTGATACAGAATAGTGTTATGGTTAGTAAGTACTGGATGCTGCAACTTCAGCATTGAGAAAACGAAAAATGTAGGGTGATTTCATAAGGATTAAAGAAAGCAAGTTGCAATATACACTATAAGTACCACCTATTAAAACAAAATGCTTTAGTACTATTCTGCATAATAAAAACTTGTATTTTACCTGACATTGAATGCAAAAAAATTGCCCTTTTTATCAGTTCATTGAAAGGAGACTTGTCATTTGAAAGCATTAAAGAGACAAGTCATATAAATTATACTTAGCTAGATGCACTTTTTTTATTCCATTACTGAAGGAGAATAATCAGATCCAGAACTATCAGTGCTGGTTACCCCCAAACATAATTATTGTATGAGATTCTCAGTATCCAAACCGCAATGAAATGATAATTATATAAATGTAAAAATAATAAAATTATAAAATCAAATTATTGCTGTTCATAAAAATAGCACACCTTGAATTGTCTACTATAACCATTACCTTATAGTTGGGTATTAGCAGGTATTTTCTAGTTATATTTAAAAAGAAATAATTTTTAAAAATCACTGCTTCTGAAGTAACTCTGAAAAGCCTTGGATCGTGATCACATCGGGGTTCATCTGCCCACCAGCTGGAGCAGACACTCACCTGTAGAGGGTGTGGAAGAAACAGCAGGGGGAGTTGGAGAGGTGAAGCCATCAGCAAGGGGCTGAGCTCCTGCAGCAACAGCAGCAGCATCTGGGGCAGCGGAGGAGGGGGCAGGAGCAGGAGGAGCGGGGACAGGAGCAGAGGTAGCAGGAAGGGGAGAAGTGCCAGCCGAGCCAGCAGGGGCTAAGTGAAGAGAGGAGGAAGAGGTGGAGTTAATAAGGAGATATGTTAGCAAGGATTAGAGAAAGCCTTAGACTATTCAGTGTTAGCTATTTATTAGATGCACAGTATTTTAGAATGCACGAGGAGATGAGAGAAAAATGGAGCTGTTAAAGAAAGGCTCATTCCTGTGTAGACGGTAAATGAGAGTCAAGCAAATCCACTACTTCTTTCCAGGTCTGAAGGGAACAACCCAGAACTTTTCACTGAAAGCCATTACTTTTGAAAGATGTCTTTACACCATGTTATTTACGCTTTGATCTGTAGCACAGCTGCCTTTAGCTTTTGTATGAATTAGAAAATATACAGAAGAGGAAAGCCAAATATTTCCTCTTCTTTGGTTCAGAAGCATTATGTATTTCACATCACACTGCAAGCCAACTATACACTCTTCTTCACTGAAAGGGCTGAGCAAAGGAAAAAGGAGTACTTATATCACTTCCTATTTCTGGAAAGACTGGGGTGATTACATTGAACAAGTGTCTTTTTGTGACAACTCAGTTAGGCTTGCATTAATGTACGAAAAATTTACTCTGTGCCTGCCTCTCATTTAATCTGATTTTCTAAAAGCATGCTTCTATATATCTGTATGAACAGCCCATGAAAAAAACATTTATTTGCTTAAAAGGGCAAGGGAGAAGTTTCCCTCAGCCCACTGAAAAAGGTGTTGTGTCCTATCTAGTCACATGCAGGCAGCCAGGCAAAAAATTCTGATAAACAAATTAATAGATAAAAGAAGCATTAGAGCACATCAGACACTGCCAGAAAAGATACTACTTGATTCAAACTCATACTACCAATAGCAAGCAATTTTCAAGGCTTGCATGCTTCTGGATAATGAACTTTGAGACTTCTTTTGGGGTTAACTCAGCACTGTGTTTAGGAGACTTGCAAATGCTAAAGGTTAATACTAAGCCAGAAAGAGGAACAGCAAGTTTCCATTTACCCGGATAGACACTGGGAGGAGATGGTGTGGGAACAGCAATAGGAACACCCACACTTCCACTTCCACTGTTCTCTCGACTGCTGCTCCGACTACTTGGGTGGCTTCCTCCACTGCTCCCACTGCTGCTGTAAGAAACCAAAATAACCCAGGGTATGAATATGCTGCTCTGCCTGCTGAAACGTAAGATCGCACACTTAGCACCTTACTAATTCAGAGAAGTTAACAGGGAACAAGAGAAAAGAAACACGGATTGTATAAACCTATATAAAGCTTAGTTTTCCTAAAACTCTTCACTTTGACTATGACACAACAGGTTTTTCAGTTAGTCTTAGTGAACCTGCCCAAAAATGAAACACTTCTGGAACCTTGTTCCAAAGCACATCATTCCAATATTGTTAAACCCCTCCTGAGCAAATACAGACCTTTTTCCTGTAACTTATAAAATGCGTAGACTGTTTAGACTCTGATTTATATGCTTTCATATGAGACTACTGAAATCTGGAAATTTTAAGATAGTAAAGTAAGTCCATATTTTAAGTCCATCTGTTTAGCCATCCTCAAGTACTTATGATGTTTAAAAAGTAAATATTTCAAGGGAAGTATTTAGACCTGTCACATCATGAAACTCTTACTATCCTAGAGAAAAAGGCTAGCCTTCCGCAGAACCTTTGGTAATACAGTTCAGCTTTATTCTGTGTTTGAGGTTATCAGTATCCTCAAAACACAATGCTCTTTTCCAGCCACTCAGTCTATAAACATCAAAGACTGTTCAAACAAAAATGTGAACTATAAGCATACTATGCAGTCCTTCAACATGTAGAAGTTGCGTACAAAGTCTTTTTCCAGTTTTGTAAGCATGTCGTAAAATAATATCGTTATCTACCTACTTGAAAGACTTCACAATTTTAGTAATTCATTAAGTACTGTAACTAAGTGATAGCACTAAAATTAAGGTGACTAGAGGATTAAGTGAACAATCTTAATGTGATTGACTATTCTGGTTTTATTAGAGTCTATTCTCGTCATGCCAAATGATGTTCCCAGTCCATATCATGAATTAGCAAGCTTCACTGTAGAGGTGCAGATGGATTTGATATTTATCGTAGCATTTTTTGTCCACACGCTTATACAATACTAACCACACTTTGTACAGGACTACACTGAATACCTGTATGTGCGATTCCTCTGATTCACAGAAGCTGTTCTAACAGGGCTCTGTTGTGAGGGAGCCATATTGCGCGTTGGGCTAGGCACGTAGTCATTTGGTACCACCGGAGGACGTACTGGCTCCAACGTACGATAGGGAGAGTGACGCCTACACAAAGACAAGCATATTTCAGAAGCAAATTAAGATAATACAGACAAAACCAAAGATTCTTCATTCTTTAAAAGATAGCTACATACTGATCAGTAATGGGAGCTAAAAAAAATGTTTTTCTCTAAGTTTGCAGTATCTACTTCGTAGGATGAGAAAAAACAATTACGGATGGTCTTCATGTACTTCACTCTCCAGAAGCTTTTCCTATTCATAAACTCTGTGTTGTACATCCCATTCTTGTTTTAAAAGTAATCCATACCTTGTTTTAAAATAAAACACCACGGTCTGTATGTATGTACATAATCACATACCAACAAACAGCATTCATCCCAGTTATAACACATTTTCCTAAGGTCAAAGTCAAGTTCATAGACTTAATAGGAAAGTACTTTTATCATACACAGCACAAATAATTAATGAACAGTCCCACATACTAATTTGCCAGTTGTTTAGCACCACCTGTCAAAGCCACACCGTTAATGACTTTTTACTCTAAAGCATGTAGTTGTAAGTGTTCTGCAATGATAAAAAGGTTCCTGTTGGGAAAGGCTGATGATACCCACTGTCTTCTGGCAGAAACATGCTAACTGATACATAAGACATGATCAGTTAAGAGGATGCAGATATAACACCTCTTGATCTTTGTGAATGGTTAAAACAAAAACAAAACAAAACAAAAAAACCCACAAAAACCCACACTACAGAAAAAGAAAGAATCTTTCCTTTTTTCCCTTCTGTCCACCAAAGCCGTTTACACATTTGGTAATTGCACTTACCCAATCGTTCCTTTTCCTGACATCGGTGGACTTGGTGGCTTCTGGGTGGGTGGTGTTGTACGAGGCAGCCCACCCATCTTCATATTCTGTGTGCTGACCTGCATGAAAGAACGGGGAGAAAAACGGCCTTCACTAAGCTCAGCTTCTAGGGGAGAGACACCGAGATGCCTTTAGCAATTAACTCTAAGTAGGGCAAGGTTTAAACAAACAAAAAAATTGAGAGGCCATGCATTTTATATGCAATTTCCACTCTGCTAGAAGTCAAGAGTTGCGCTCAAAGGACTCTTTATTACATAGGGTTTTTAAAAATTGTATATACAAAAAAATGAATTTGCCTTTAGGCTATCACATAAACATTAAATCACTGACAATACAGACACTATCTAACTTGGTTAAACCTCCCAGTCATCTTTTGAGATAAAGGCAGTTATTTCGGGTTGCACTACCGAATGGTAAATTTGCAAAAATATTTTTTAATAGTCTTTAAAAATACTAAGGTTTATCTAATAGGCCACAATTTAATGTAATTCATACAAATATGGAGAAGTCAAAGTAATCTCCAAATATGATCCATTAATGTTTTAGTGTTTTCACAGTGCGATATCAAAATTTTTAAAGATAGTATTTATTGTAAATATTATTTATGTATATGTAAACATAGACAGAAAACTATATGGAGAAAAATACAAACATGTACTTTTTCCCCCACCAAATGTGTAGCAATGAAATCTCTAAGAATTGATAAATAAATGGACAGGGAGAAAAATATTTAGCAGTGATGTGATGTGATTGCAGTTGTCCCCTCCCCCTCTTTCAGGTTAAAATACTAATGAAGTAACTTTTATATAAAAGAATTTACTCTAACTTCTTTAAAAAACTCATCTACATTCCTGACTGATTGATCAATCTAGGAACAAGAAACAATTGTCACCAATGCAGGCATTTTGCTTATCTGTATACTGCCAGTCAAGCATAATTCTCTCAATGCATGCACCCTTACAGGAATCAGTACATGGTCTTCTTACCAGTCTCTGTTAAACAGCTTGGATTTATGAATGCTCAAACTATTGCTTAGACACAGAGATATTCAACAAACCTAAATAAGTATGCTTACATCCCTTTTTCTGTTGTTCCTGTCATGCTCCATTTCACAGTGTTTCTTATTTCCAAAACGTAAGTCTTGCCTACTGCCCCCACCTCCCATATAAAAAAGGCACGGTGATCAAGGCATTAAGGGTATTTGCAAACATCATTAAAGGCAAATTACTCCTTTAAAATTTGACTGTAACAACTCGCTTAAAACCCTGGCAACGTTTAGATTTGTGAATTGAAAAAAATTGAGAACAGTGTAGAGAGTAATGTATTTTAATCCACTGAAACTTGATTCCCTGGCTCTTAAATAATCCCAGTGCTACCACATTTTCAATCTGCTGGGAGGAAATGAAAACCAAGCATTGGAAGGTTTTTTTTGTCAGATTCAAAACCAGATATTTGGATTTAGTCATGCAAGAGTACTTTGTAATGTATGTCAATTTAAGACAAAATTCTTTTGCACGGCATTATAAAGTCCTTTAAGCCAACTCTAAGCAACAAGAAATCTAAAGTTAATTCAAGTGAGGGACGAGGTAAGCACTGAACTACAACTACTTGAAGGGAAGAGGGAAAATGTAAAATGAAGTATATTTTATTCTATACACGGAACATTAAGAAATAGCACAATATCTGATTTTTTTTTTTAAAGTTGCAGCACCTCCTGTATTTCCTCTTTCATTAAAGCACCTGTTTCACCCACCTATTTGAGTTGTCCAAAAAACCACAAAAAACCCCAGAAAAAACCCACCTTAATTAAACACTCACTGCATTGTCACTTGCTATATTTCAAACAGCCCATTAAGCCTAGTGGGGCAGGGGTTTTGGATGTCTTTAGATGACAGCAAACTTGGTCCAATCTGTGTGCCCCTGAATAGTCCATTTAGGTGTTTTAACTGGCTACACTATTGTTTCTGACCAGATGATGTAACCACTAGTTATCACTTTACAGTTAACATAAAATTCCATATGTTTAACCATAAAGAATCTTCTTATTTGTATACAATCACTGCAGGAACAAAAATGAAGTTTTAGCCTTCCACTGAGCTAGAGCTACATGAAAAGAAAGGACAGTAGAGGTGGAGGATGCAGTGACATCACACAGTATACAGTAAGAAGTGGAAGTAATACTTGCCTGACTAACGCAGAACTCCAGTGACTGCTAGTTACTTTCATTAATACTGCGAATAAACATATCCTTGACGTAGGATGGGAAAAAAGCTTTAGAAAATGCGGCCAAAGAAAAAGTGATCCTTTTTTAGCCAAAAAACTTTAGTCACAAAGAAGCCGTTCTTAAGAAAGACTGAACTGAAAGATGGGGAAATGCACTGACAGTAAGCTTAGTTTCAGGCTCTTGGAAATGACTTTTCAGCACTGAAATCAAAATGTTGAAAGAGCAAGCAATTAAAGTTTACAAGGCTGTCTTCAAATCTGACAGGATTGATGGCTTTAAGATTAGCTACTGTAAGTTAAACAACCCTATCTGAGTTAACTTCCCTTTGACTTATGGCCAAACAATCACAGAAGAGAAATGAAGAATATAAAATTATTCCAACAGTTCTGATCAAAATGGACAGATCTGTGGAAACAATATCATGCAAGACACTAAAAAAGGTTACAGACTGCCTTGAGGAAAGAAAAAAAAAAGAAAATTTAAAACTATACAAGTTGCAACTTCCGTTGAGATACAAACATTGTAACATTTCCAACTGTCCCCTTCTATGATGACTTCTACTAGGAGGGGGGAAAAAAAAAAGGAAAAAAAAAAAAGAGGAAAGCTATTAATGCCCCCCTCTTGCAAAACTTCACTCTATTGCATTTTCCATTTTGCACATACGGTTGTAAAGATAGTCTCCATACACAAATCCTCATCCATACACATCCCTCTTACAAACTTCTAAAATACGAAGCAACCACTAGAACTCAAGGTCACATTTGCATTTACTGTCAAGTTTCAAAAATCCGTTTTCTGGAGTAAGTTGGAATTTGCCAGAAGTTGCACTGTTTCTGATGACATTTCCCCTAGCTCCGCACAGCTGGAACCACCCAGATGCAACTGGTTTAATTAGAGGGTGAAAGCAGAGGAATGCATCTGCCTGTTGGTGGTTGGTTTGACTGAGGCTGTGGGACCCCACAGATCTGTGGTTGGTTTGTAGTTAAGAGCTTGCAAATTCTTTTAGGAAACTGTGTAGCAAAACAGAGCCTGCAACCAAAAATACAAAGGAGTATCTCTGCCTTTGCTCACAACTGCCAAAACAGCTAACCACTGTGCTAAAAAAAGAAAAAATTAAGAGAGGCAGTAATGATTTGGGCACAAAGCTCAGAACAAAAAAAAACCCAGCTGACTGTTCTAAAAGCAGGAAGACAACCCTGTAAACAGACAAGTAGTGCACAGGCTCTATGCAGAATGCAGGCAGGGGTTTCTCCAATTCTTTTTTTGCCTCTTCCCACAGGAGCAAAAAAGTAGAAAATATTACCAACTGAAGTTACATGGAAGAACACCAAATAATTCTAGGGAGATCTTGGATAAGCATTTTTTTTACTGGATACCTTGCAGAAGCTTATACGTGAATTAGCAAGCACCTGCACTACAGAAGAAAAAGTCTTTTACCAAAGCTGCAACTCTGTCAGCACTGGAGCTGGAATTGAAAGTTTTACTGAGGAAGAAACCACATAAACAACTTAAAATAAGCAGATCTTTGGTAAGTAAACATCCTGGAGGATGCTCTGAGATCCAGCTCCACAGTAACAGCCATAAAACGAATTGTAAAGAAATGGACCACTATGGACCATTCTGTTTAAAAAGGGTACGATAGTATTTCATCCAATATTTTCTATATTGAGCTACAGTGTCAGTTTTAGAAAGGTAACATCTGATGACTTCAAGACATGATACGGGACTGACTAGAGCCCTTAGAAAATGATCATTTTAAGTTTAATTTTTTGAATAATTAAGACTCATTTGCACAATTTCTATTTTTGGCAACTAGTTTTTCCACAGATCCCAGTGATTAAATCACCTTCTTATGGTCCTACATATGACTGAGTTTCCTTCATAGTTACATTTTTATAAACATTTAACAGATTGAGCTTCTTTAGCACTCCACTGTGTAAGAAATTTGTAGTGAAATAAACTGGTTAAAACTGAGAAATCCTGCAGTTCATTCAGTTCAGTTCTTGGGAATGTTTTCATGAACAAAAAAATTCACCGAGTAAGAAGTGCAGAAATACATAGTTGGTCAGATATAAGAGCTGGTCATCAGATATGCAAAAACTACTTGCACCAATGCACCGTGTATTTACACAGCTGTAAGGCACTTACCTGCAACAAAGATTTCAATCCACATTTTTACTCTTTTGAAGAACATCTCATTATCAGTTCAATTACCAAAACAAAGTGGGGTTTTTTTTTTCCAAAAATCCTGAATACCAGACATTCCACACAATCAAACCTCAGGAGGAGCTGCTTTCTAAAGCCAAAGTTGGACTCAGCCCAGAAATTTTTAAGTGATACTTTATGGTCACATCGGATTTTCTAGAACTTTCAGGATGTCAAAGGAATCATCTTTTGCCCAAAATCTAACAAGAAAAAGTGTCCCATCGGTGATGTTCCATGGATTATATTCAGAAACTTCAAGCAGCTACCCAACCTTCTTGAGCAATTTTATACCTGACTCCAGCAAAAACAACCTAAGGCTGAATGAAAACTACCTTCTCACGCCTTGCTTCATCTTGTTAACGCTACAGAGAGGATGAACAGATTTTTGGCCCATCATCTGCTACCTCAAACTAAATTCCTTTCCAGGCTGTGCTTAGCCACTCGAATACTTACTCTGCATGTCTAATTAAGCCATATATTTGTCAGTTGATTAACCAGTTGATATGGAAGTGAAATGTCCAAATTTCAACCCTGTCTTGGCAAATGACCACAAGGAGAAGCTTCAGCAAGTGAGTTTACTTGTTTTTACCACATCCACCTATGTAAAGTAATTGAAGAACCAAGTTTGGTAAATACAAAAAGGCCTAAACAATGTCATTTTCAATTGATTTGCTGACAGGAAATGCTACAGATACTCCTCTGACTTGTAATTGGAATTTTCTTCAAAATCTGTTTAAAATTTAAAATTAAGCTACCCAGACACAAGCACAGTTAGCCCTGCTACAGTCAGTCAGTTTAATATTGTAACTGTTAGCTAAGACTAAGGTTTCTTTGCAGCCATGAAAAATAAATGCAGGCTAAACACTTCATATCCAATCTCTCGTAAGTGAAGTAAAATTATTATTTCACACGGAACCAGGGTTAGCAGCAGCCTTTTAGTTTTCTTCTTTCAGGTTGATGCACAGTGACTATAGTGAGACTTAAAGAATAACTTATGTCCACTGAGAGCTGCTGTGCTGCTTTTTGCCGTTTTCCTTATTTTTTTTAAACCCTCATATTTTGGCAATGAGAAGTTGATTGACATATTGTGATTTCACAAATCAAATTTCTGATCAGGTTCACTCTAGTAAAAATAAAGAAATATTTTAACTGGTGTTATAACAAAAAATGTTATTTTCACTCCAAACCTATAAATAGAAAAAAATATTTTTCTCTGAAAAGCTGAAGAGACTCTTATCACCACTGCAGATGATGCACAGATATGGCAGTTCACACATAATCCATAATTATACAATTTAAAAAAAAATTTTTGGATCGTCATTACTTGTTTGTAACTGCAACTGCAGAGAGCAACAAAGAAAACTGAGTTTGCAAATTGTTTTTTTAATATCACTGAGAAAACCATCATCCAATATGAACTGTACCCAGAATAAGGCATATTCAGCATTAGAAGTATCCATTTTGTGTGGATAGGTAGAAAGAACCAGGGAGGAGATACAGTTTTCAATTCTCAAATAAAAAGCATTTAAACACTACATGACTTGAAATACTGTACCTCACACACTTATGTAAAAATAAATTTCAAATGACATGCGAGAAATCTCTCATTTATTAAACAGTTTCCATTGCGATCAGATGTGCTACATACACTTAAATGCCTTACTAGAAGTACCATCTGGCCAATTCCATAGGGACATCATTGGGATATCTACAGTAATACTCAGTTTTTACAGGCAATTTTTTCAGGAATGTGCAGGATTTTCTTTTAGCTTTTTCCAGTCATGGAAAATACTTAGTCATGAAAAATATCTCACTTCAACTTGGAACTTCATTTAACTAATATACTCATACTACATATTAGTATTTTATGTTCCAAAATACAGTTCCCTCTTTAAAACTGTGGTGGCTGCTACTAAAAACCTTTCATTCCCTCTTTCCCCAAATCAGTTGCACTTCAGGAGGATGATGATATCACAATACTCAATAAAGGCTATAACCTATCTATTAATTAATGTGCTATGAACTCCAACACAGTATCATGCACTTCACTTAACTGCTTGTCTAATTGATTTGATGCTTTTTATTGCTACTTCTGCAGCCACTAAGGCTACTAACGTTTAAATCTCTTCAAGATCCTTGAGAATTTGACATGCTTCAGTTTGAGTTCTTTGATACACTATTCATTTAATATTCTACTAAATAAATTACTTAGCTTGTTGTTTAAGGGTTATTAAATATTTCACACAACTATCAAATTTGTGAAAATTTCCATATATGAGTGCCTCTCAGTATTTAAATAGTGCTAGCAGTTTCTGAAAAAATTAAGGATACTGCAACTTTAAAAAATAATATACAGATTTGAATTTGTTACACACCTTTGGAGCCCATTATCTGAGCAATCTCACACTGAAACATTAATCCCAATCAAATCATAACTTACACCGTATATAGGATAAAAAGAATATTACACAGGGGGAGGCTTATATTCAGTTGCTATCTATTCACTGTATCTTTTTGTCTACACAAGGTTAGCACAACATTCCTCTCTTGTAAATGATCTGGTAGATATGCTGAAGGCAGTCAATATTTTGCCACAAAGCTTTTAAAATGAACTGTGTTAGCTTCCTTATATAAACAGATCAATTTATATCACAAAATGTTTATCTGCAATGAAATCATTCAACAGAAGGTCTGAAACACAGGAGGGAGAGCGAGTGTTGTTTTAAACAATCAGTAACATTCACGTTGATCATCTCCCCGTGTGTAATAGTCTCAGAAGAATAAGAATGGAAATCCAGCCCTGGGGTTTCTTACCTTAAATCTAAGCAACCACTTAATGCATAAATGGAGCAAATAAAAGAGGTAAGGAAAAAAAGCATTGAAAGGTTAGTTGGAACTTCAGGATATGAAGAGAAAGGAAAAAGAAAGAAAAAAGTTAAGCATTCGGCATTAACAAAATAATGTATCAGTAGATCATAGAAAGAGTGGTTAAAGCAGAATGTGTCATGAACAAAAGATTTTCAAGCTGAAACTTTTAATATACATTGACCACAAAGCCTTTAGACTAACACCTTAAAATTAATGCTTAAATGCTTGTACACTGTTTATTCAAGTTCTTACAGTGCTAACAAAAAGTCAGCTTCTTTCAAAATGGATCATGAGATCTAGATGGATTAACTTCAGAGATTAATTTATTTGAGCTGCCAAAGAATAGCCTTACCAATATCCTGAGCTCATTTAAATTGTTACATGCATTAGCATATTTACAACTAGCTGAAACAAAAGCCTCTAAAATATTAAGCTAACGTATGTTCTTTCCTAGACAATGCTGTTATTTAACTCTTAACCTGATGCCCTGAGATATCTCTTGATCAAAGATCAAGAGCAAATCATTACGTCTTGTAAGAAGTACAGCACTCTATATGGATACTGCACCACATACCAGTATTTTCTAAACTATATATTACGACATTAACCAACAGTGAAATCTTATTTTAAAGCCTAAGTACTAGCTTTTTGACATTAAGTCCTACATCTTACTGGCACAATACCATGTATCTTCTTTTCTCATAATATTTTTTTCAAAAATACTAGTCCTTCCATTTGAATATCATTTGATCTGTTTTCAGTTCAGCTAATCTAAACGTATCATTACATTTCTTACACTTTTTGTAACACCGAACATTAAATATGCAGAATCTCAACAGTGGAGCATCCAGAGTGACTACTCCATTTCATCCACTTAGATCATAAATAGACCCTAATGTATTAAAAAAGAAACATGAACTGATTTACTAGAAAATCTCCTGTCTTTGAGTTTAAAGTTCCATGGATTTATTAACCAAAACGGTCTCTGCTTCACAGAGCTAAACTGGAAAACCAGGTCCCCCTGTACTGGCCAGACAGAGTGGCCAGTTACATTAGACGGTCCATGAGCTGAGACCTTTTCCTCAGCAGCACTGCCTGATAATTACAGTGCCTTAATACAGACCACTTTGAATGGATCAAACTTTTTTTTTCCATCCCCTTGACTAGAGAAGTCTTTGGAGGGAAGAACAGATTGGAAGACTTTGTAACTCAAAAGAAAAAACTGAAAGCAAGTCTCTTTCAGACAAAAGGTTCTTTAGATTTTTGCAGCGTTGTAGCCTCAGGGAGGGACGACGAGGAGGGACTGCTGGAATGATATAGTGGCACTTAAATTCTCTCTCACCTATTAAGAAACCATATTGTAGAGCATTTTTTCCTGAAGATGGTATCCACTGATGCTTTGAATTTCTGAATGGAAGGAAATGGGTGCTCAAGTGCCTATGCTACTTCTCTCAACATGGCATACTGGATTTCTTGGCCAAGGATGCTCCCTTTTTCACCTGTATTATTCTCTGTCCGGTTTGCCATCTTTCTCAGGGGTTGCAATGAATGCTTGCTGCATTAGCTCTCTGATTGTCCTGACAATGCTTTATTCTGGTCCAAGTACTAGAGGGGAAGCCCTAAGCAGAAAAAGCAGAAAGAGGACAAAGAATGCAGACTGAGGCACCCTGATGCTAACTGGAACTTTAATGCTATTTATCCAAAACTAAAGGGAAGAATGCCACAGCTCAAGCAATATAGAGCTATAAACAGGCAAATTTAAAGCTCCTATGCTTTTTCTTTTTTTCTCTTCGTTCTCCAGCCACAGATCTAGTAAACTAATCTGTAGTTACTCACGCAGAACAAAACCAACAGATTCATAAGCACAACTGGCCACTTTCTCCCCATCAGCAAGGGAGTGGTTCTTTCTTCTGTGCTGAACACAGGATTAACCTGATTGGAACAGATCTATGGATCTTTATGTTAAGGATAGCATGATGTCAAGTTCTCTGCTTATTGTTTCACAAGTACACAATACTTTTTCATTGTTTAGATAAATATAGTACATATTAAATATAATTTGTAAGATGTTTCAAGCATATCACAAGCATAACAAATGGATGCAAATACACATTTGAGTCATCATCCATTTGATGAACTACGTTCTTTCAGAAGAACGTAATTCATTGCATCACAGGGAGTATGATTCTGCTACATTGAGGTAAGTGGGATACCAATTATAATGGTTTAGAGTCAGTGCTAAGTAAGATTGTGCTGCAGAGCAATTAAAAACTATTCTTTAATGAGTTTTAAAATAATCTCATTAAAACAAAAATGATCATTAAAATATTAGCAACAGTAATCCTACAGGTTAATATGCTCCATCCATATCCAGAAGGAGTTCTGCTGACCTGCATAAATTCAAAATTTGTACCAATTGGCAGTAGATTTTAACACAAGACTGATAATAATTTCCTGGTCAAAACTGTAGCTATTGATGCTGGGGTTTTTTTGTTTGGTTTGGTTTTCCAAATCTAGCTTAAAGAGTCACTTGTCTTTTTTATATCTGTTCAGGGTTACAAACTGAGGTTGACTTTTTTGGTAAGAAATGGGGAAAAAAGGCTTTCTGTTAACGAACAGGATGTTGAGAAGACCTTGAGTAGAATTGCTTGGGAAAGATATTTAAATAGCACTGTTCAGAATTTGAATTTTAAGAGTTTGGTTAAACAACCTATTGCCATTTAAACGAGTATCCAAACAGACAGTTCAAACTGAACAACATAGATAACCTAATGCAGTTAGGTGTCAAGCAAAAGAAATTCTGGTGTACTTTGACTGGAAGAAGCACCTCACCTTACTGCTACGAGGAGGTTTACAGATTTGTTAATTTGTCATGTAAAAATGACACCGCTTTGTGTTATTTACCTTTCTTCTCCTGGAACTTTAACACTGTCAGTGTTCTCATTTCCGTATTTGTTTTCCTGGCAGCACAAGTTAACAATGAGCTCACACCTGCTGAGACTGTGTTTACATTCAGGACATGCTTTTAAAAAATGCGTATCTAATCTCACACATGATACTGTTGCGTACAGTGATCTAACACCTGCATACAAGAGCCACCAGTTGTGTCTCGGTCTGATCTTTGCCCTGAAATGCCTCCTTTTTTCCTTATCTTAAAAGGGAGAACCAGCTGGCTTCAAACTTGGCAGCAATATTCCCATTCTGAAACCCCACAGGCACAGAAGTTGTAGAGAGCTCACTTTAACAAAACACATCACAGGATAGGGGTATAACTGACTCTGACAGAAAGAAGAAAAGGGAGCACATAATACTTCTTATGCAAACCCTTTCTTTGGGTGAGCTTCAAAGTAAATCAGCGGCAACTACAGCTGGATCATACTTTGCGATGCTAATTCAGGCAGAAAAGTGACGGTCATTAGCCTTTCAGTCCCCAGGTATATCCCTGGCAACTGATTCAAACAGTAATAGCAGCATCACACAACTTGGTATTCGGAAGCATTTTAAAAGGTGAGACCCATAGTCCCAAATATCTTCAGAAATAAGATTCAGTGGGTTTGCAAGATTTAGAAACACTGGGGCAAGGGAACAGGAAGGGGCAACTGCAAATTGGACAGGACTTCTCTTGTGTTTATAGACACATTGGCCAGGCAAGGAGAAACTGGTATATTACTATGAAAAGCATCAGGTTATTTTGAAAATATACAAAGACAACGTATTTGCAGTTTGGCTGTTTTAACAATATCACCTACCTTCACTCCATGTCCAATATCATCTAGAATTGTATAATCAATAGGTTTCCTGATGTAGCGAACTGGTCGCTCCAAGTTAGCTGGTGCAATGATTTTGTGAGTTCTTGAGGTGTTTTTGTTTGTAGTCAAGATACCAATTTCTCTTCTAGCAACTTTCTCTTTGTGAATGTCCACCGTCTACAAAAGACGCAGTGTATTTACTAACAGTGGTATGCATTTGAATACAGAGTCAGTATTAAAAAAAGAAAAAGAATCAGTTCCAACGTTTCGAAGTTCTCTGTGTACTGTGCTAAACATATCACTACATACACTTGATTACATCATCTTTGTTCAATTTACTGTTGAACTTGCCACCTCTAAATCCACACTAATAGCCATGGGTTCTTTGGGCTTTCTGTTACTCTCATTCTTTACAGTTCAGCAAAATTTCTTCTCCTTTCCCTTCTTAGTAGTTCCCATTAATTTATTGACACTGTTTTATATGATTCTTTCAATTATCCTTTTTAATTTTACAATTGCTCTCTGAGCTTGTCTTTGAAGTAGTCTCCAACTAGATGAAGTGTAAGGATACCTTCCCAAACCTTAACTTGACCTGAAAAACAAACCATAAGCAGGTTTTCTTACACTGTAAAACAGTTTGCTAAACTAGGACTGGTAGTCATATGACAGAATAAAATTTCACTCAGACAAATTGACAAGGTATTTCAGTCATTACAAATCACTCATCACAAAGCAATGAATAGATTTTAGAACGTGCTCAGTACCAATTTATCCACAATGAAGCCAGTGGTTAAGCCCAGTGCCTTTACTTAGAATGCCTAAGGCCAACACTGAAAATCCTTCCCTCCACATATTACAATGAGTACTACAGGAGAATCTCTAGCGTAAGACAAAGCCCTGCTGAAAATTCACTGCCTAAAAACATGTACTTGAATCTTGTTTGGTAAAAAGACTAGGAAAAAGTTACCAAAAAGTCTATCTAGAACTTCCAGGAAAACAAAATCTCTTAAATCATGGTGCACGGAGTTGCTTGCATCATTCCTTGCTCACAAAACAGCTTTCCTTATAAGAAATTTGCCAGAGTTGTGAACAAACATTTTAACTACAGGATAAAAAAAAAAGGTAAGAAAACAGCCAGAATCACCACCATTAGGATTTCTAAACATTCATAGGATTTCTTGTTACCACTTTAGTGATTATGAATGATACCAGAAAGACTTCTTAAAGTTAGGAGACAGGCTCTGTAGCAACTAAGGAACAGGTACAAATGAGAACTCATTTTCATAACACACATTTTTTAAATTTTATTTTTCTGTGGGCAGAGATTGGAGCAGTGGGGTTGCTTACACGGTTTTACCCTTTTGTTTGTGCTACTGATAGCAAAACAAGCAAAATGGACCCTGCATTACCTTGTGCAATCATCATAACCTTTAAAACTATAAAATTTAAAAAAAAAAACAAAAACCCAACACTTCCAAGAAGTTGTTTATTCACATTCTTTCCAGAGAAGAATTTACCAGGGGCATTATACGGAAGCTTAAATTACTATCTATCAAGATTACATAGTATTTTCCAGCAACGTATTTTCAAGATCCTGCAACTTTGCTACAATTAAGCACTGAATACAACTTTGTCACGTACCTTTCTGCCACCTCTAGTACCACCTGCCTAGAACTGGAGGGTTTTTACTAAAGCTGCACAGCTATTTCTTAAAACAAAGCTACAGAAAAATAGATTATTCAAGGTCAAAATATGTTGGCAACTCTCTCTTTGAAAAGCTTGAGTTCATTGAGCAATGACTTGAAATTTAATAGGGGTGGTTAAACTATCTGGGACACATCCTCCATCACGTTCACAAAAACCCACTCAGATTTGGCCAATATATAAACTCTGCAGAAATTCACGGTTCATACGAGCTTAATAGAAACACAGATATTTCTATGACTACTTAAAAACTAAACCACTCTCCAACCAATTTTGCCAAAGTCCTTCCTGAAGCTCCCTGTGATGACCAGGTCTATATACCATCACCCAATACAATAGTGCAGATCAGATCTTAACAGCTGTTATGATATTATTGACTGTACAAGCACCAGTGCAAACAGAGCACAGAAACATGTTCCAGGCCAGAGTACCAAAAGTGCACCTTTCTGCATCAGGGTAAGATTCAATATTTTATCTTCCTTCACAGGTTTTTATCCCTTCTCTGTGCCAGACCTTTGCTTTTGCAGCATAGTGGAAGGAGAAGTTCTGGAACAAGTAGCAGTCATATCAAAGAGGTTGTCTACAGAATCCTCACCTCATGTGTTGAGGAGTTAGAAAGCACATACTTTCTTGGTAAGCCAATAGTATGTGATTGCAACAACTTGGAGGACAGTCTCATGTTTAATACTACTGAAGAATTCAATCTCTATGATTATCTCAGACTTCATCTATGATCTAGACATGTCACTAGAGAACTGCAGAAACATTACACTGACTCTTGTATGTTCTTTGTCTCACAGGCCTCTGATACCATTTGCGAGAATGTTAAACAACCTCAGCTGCAACAGCAGCTGCACCTCAAATGCTCCATGATGTTTCAAATGTACTGAAACATCAAAATCTTATGGGTCTGAATCTGGTCATTCAAAACTAGTTTATGCCTTGGACGCTACACTCTCAGAGCCTTAATTTCGATCTACAAATCAGAAAGAAAGTAAAGTAATTAGCACAGTGTTGGCAAGATGATTTCTTCCTTTCTCTGCATTTCAAGTGCTTGACCTCTGCAACTCTGAAGATGTTGTTCTAGTATTTTCTTATGCAATTATCTATAAATACAATGTGAGTACAGATATTTAATGCACATGTTATTGTAGTGATGGTATCTTGGCACTGTGGAAACTTGTTTCCATGAATGAAAAGCATGGCTTTTTAATTATTCATAGGAGTTGTGAGTTTCCTTAAGGACTATGGTGATCAGTGAGGCATGACTACAGTTACGAACAATAAAATGCATAAAACCTAATTAAAACCTGATGTTCATCTGTTGGGAATTCTCTTTTGCATGATGATTCAGAACATCTCTTTTACCTTGAATAACTAGGGAATGACTAAGAGTATAAAAACGGCACCTAATTCTGGTACACACTCCTAAAATTGTATTGAAAAGCGTTTTGCTGGCAGGTTTTTCAAAATTTTCATTTTCTTGCTTAGTAGACTACTGGAGTCGTAAGATCTTAAGACACCTATGAAACGGCAGAAAGGAATATTGAGGTATTTGATTAGTAGAGAAAGTAACAAAGATTAACCTTCTACTAAAGAAAATTAAAACATTTATCCTCAACACACAGGTAATTATTGCCTCCAGTACCAGCATAAATCCCTTAAGTGAGACAGGAGAATGCTTGCAGAATGTTTATTCAGCAGTTTAGAAACTTCTATTGAGAAGTTTTTTGGGTTAGAGCTGGACTAACAAAACACCTGGCTTGGAAAGTCTGTCAGGAAAAGCAGATGGGATACACTGTGCCCTTCTATAACTTAAAACACTGTTTTCTAACAAGAAATTTCACACTCCTGACAGCATTATTACGCATTTTTCCCCCACAGCTCTATTACCTTTGGCAAAGGCTTTTAAATGACAGTTTATTAGAGGTTAGGCTTATTACTATCATCTTTTCTTATGCTTTCCAAGATGCCTGCAATAAGGCAAGGGATAGCTTAAGGGGAAAAACAGTATAAACCACTGCATTTTTTTCTATTAGGAATTTTCTGGCCATTTTAAAACATTAAGTTTCCATACTGAATTCAATAAAAACAGCCTCAAGATCTGTAAAGACTAAAATAGAAAAAACACTAAATCACTTCTGGGATTCCAAAGTTAACACTATTTACCACCTCACTTTAAAGTCACTGAACTCAGAATTTTGAGAAATACTCTCTTCTACTTGTAAGTGAAATTTCTTGAAGCATTATGTTAGCACTTGTGCTGGTTTTGGCTGGGATAGAGTTAATTTTCTTCATAGCAGCTAGGATGGGGCTATGTTTTGGATTTGTGCTGGAAGCAGTGTTGATAACACAGGGATGTTTTCGTTCCCGCTGAGCAGGGCTTACACAGAGTCAAAGCCTTTTCTGCTCCTCACCCCACCCCACCAGCGAGGAGGCTGGGGGGGCACAAGAAGTTGGGAGGGGAGACAGCCAGGACAGCTGACCCCAAATGACCAAAGGGGTCATACCATATGACGTCATGCTCAGCATGTAAAGCTGGGGGAGGAAGGAGGGATGTTTGGAGTGATGGCGTTTGCCTTCCCAAGTAACCGTTACGCGTGATGGAGCCCTGCTTTCCTGGAGGTGGCTGAACACCTGCCTGCCGATGGGAAGTAGTGAATGAATTCACTTCTCTTTCTTGGGTTTTATTTCTCCCTCTCTGTTATCTTCCTTTTCATTACAATTTATCTTTATTATGATGATGATTATTATTATATTTCAATTATTAAACTGTTTTTATCTCAACCCACAACTTTTCTCACTTTTACCCTTCTGATTCTCTCCCCTATCCTGCTGGGGGACGGGGGGGTGCGGGGAGGGGGAGTGAGCAAGCAGCTGTGTGATGTTTAGTTGCTGGCTGGAGTTAAACCACGACAGCACTTTGAAAGTCTAAACTGTAGTGAAATTTCAGAAATACAAGTCTCCAGAAGCCTTGATTTCTTCCTCTTCTCAAAACATTCTAATTTAAATTTAACAATTTATTGTCAGTCTGTTAGTCTTGGCTTTTAAAATTTAGTTTAAAAAAATCTTAGAAGAAAATGTTGCTTAAATATAGTGTTGCTGGGCTTTTTTTTTTTTTAAATCTAATCTGATAGAATTTAAACAAACTAATTACAAGTTACCTTGAAAATTGGATTATTACTTTAAAATAAGTAACTTCTCAATTTTGACATGTTAGAAGTGTGGCATTAATTGTCTCAACTCAAGTTGTATGTAATTTATACACAAAGTAAGAGGTCATAATGATACAAAAATGCTGAAAAGCTACTTGCTCCATAAACGGCTAATATATACTGTGGAAAATTAGACTTGCATTTTTGAAAGAGTTTGGCTATTCTTGTAACTTGCAAGAATAAGACAACTGAAAATGGTTGCAAGCCTTTACTGACTTATCAATGGAAGGTCCAAGTGAACTTCCCTGCAGAGACCAACCAGCTCACACATGTTGCTACAGTTCAGCTAAGCAACACATGCTGACTACAGAGAACTTCAAGTCTGCAGTCTATTCAACACCTATTCTCACGGCCAATATCATGGGAGTCAGATTCTAAGAAAAGGATGAAGCAGATTTCTCCATCATGCATTGCCACTGGAGATAACTCATCACTATCACTCATCTTTGTGATAATATGCTTGTTCATATAAGTAGCAGCAGACTCGAGTTTTAAAGATGACCCTGCTAACTAAGAGTATTCTATAACTAAACCTGAAAAAATACTTCTCATCATACAAATATTAAAACCTGAAAATCTGTCAGATTAATTTAAAGAATTTGGACATTAGCAACATTTCACAGAGTCCGCTAACTTGAAAACTTTAGCACGGTTTTTTTAACAAGTATAAATATTTATACAGATGATCTGTATTTAGGATTCAAATTTTCAGCCAAATATGAAACACTGTATATCATCTAGTTCTGGACAAGGTTCAGGAAGGCAAATAAGAATAGATTCATCAGTTTTCAGACCAAATCAAAGTAATCCTAAATTTTAAACCAATAGGATTTAATCAGTTGCATAAAAATAGTTTCAACAGTAACAATTTCCTTATTCAGGACCTATATATAACCTGAAAAACCACAAATGATTATCAGCTTCCTTTTCAGCTCTGTGATTAAGTTGGCATTTAGAAGGAAACACAGAAAGTTATATAAATTGGCGTTCTATCAATGAACAGAGAACTAGAATATTTTATCTTCTAAAGTTAATCACATCTCTTCCAGTTGCAGCTACACTTGAACAAAACAAGCACTTTTGAAAAAGTTTTCTTACTAAGAGCCAAATGATTTTGCTCCCTTCTTTGGAGAATATGTGGACTTCCAAATCAGAATTAAAAGCAGGATTATCCATCCAGATATCATAATTTGCATTAGTGTTTTCTAAACTTTAATATCAATACCTACTGACCAAAGCATTAATGCAATAATGCACTGCGAGCAGATGGTAATTACCAGCCTGTTTTCTGTTCTACGTTACTGACATCATTTCAAGTCAGACTGACTGAAATCATAATTTGGCAATGAGGCATTTTAAGTGGTACTAGAAACAGTCCACTAAACTTTACACCCAACATAAAAAAGACCGAGGAAGTCTTCTGCAGATTAGGCTTGTTCCAGGAGAAGTATAATCAAATTTCCTGAAAAGAAACTATTTATTACACAGAAACTGTGACAAAATAAATTCTTTTTTTAAAGAAAAATAACCACTGAAATTAAGACAGATAATACAACCATCTACAACATCGGTATCATGGGATGAAGCCACTTCCGAACATATTGAATTCAACTTAATAAAGTTCCTTGGATCAACACACTTCGTATATGTAATATCCAAATTTCAAATACTGTCTGCTCCTCTGATATCATTTCTTCCATGAAGATTTGGGGAGCATCCTACATATGGATGATACAGACTCAAAAAAAAACCCAAACAAAAACAAAACTCAATTTTCAATTTCACAGCTATATTTAAAAAAAACAACAAAACTTTTTTTTGGTTGTTCAAGTGAAGTGCAGCCTATGAGTTTTGGCAGATACATCTTCATTAGGTGTTGGGCACTGGTAATTTAGTGCTCCATTTTAAATAACTAGCCATTTTGTATAAACGCCAAAGACAATCTAACCTCACATCTCAATCTGCATAAATCTCAGCTTCTCAAAAGCAAAAATTTAAAATGCTATGGCCCTTTCCCCAAAAGCTACTTTACAGAAACTGTGTGACAAAATGAACTTTCCACATCTATAAAATGCAAAATCCAGTGAACTCTGAATATTTTTATTCATATACTGTCTTTTGCGTCAGGCTCTCAAATAGTTGAAATACTTGTCAGCTGGCACTAGCCTGTCAGGAAGCACATACATACACACACAAGCACACACACACACGTATACGCACACAGAGGCATATACACACATATATAGCACATATACATGCACACACACACACACAGAGCAATTTGTGACATTTTCTGGGAAAAAAAAAGAATTGACTTGTCCATGGATTAACAAGAAGCATGTAGCAGAAGAAATCAAACTTCTCAGGTTATTTTTGAGGATGCAGTTGTATGAGATAACTGAGGCAATCTAATAGCGTACTACCACCAGAAGGGAAAATCCTCCCCACCCCTTCCTTTGCACCTGCTTTGGAATTCATCTGACCCCTCAGTGAGCCAATTCAGCCCATTAAGCTAGCATAAAATTATTCACTTCTTTTGCTGATTCAAATCTCTGCTAGCTTAGCAACCCTTTCAGCACCAGCAAGTTAACAGATCAGCTCAATCTGCTCATTTCCTACCTTACACAGCTCCTACTTTCAAATGTCTTTCTAAATACCACAATAGTCTTTATTTTAATTTATGTCATTATCACACAGAGATCAAGAAACCCTAGCAGCCAAAATGTATTGGTCAAATAAGACACAAAATATTCAGTAAGGATGCCAATCAACTCTCCAGTAACAGAAAAACAGAAAGTGCTGTATCATTGCTCTTAATTTCTCTTTTAATCCATCATTGGCATGTAAACCTCCAATAGATTTATCATCCACCCTTAGCCCATTCTGGCAGCCAAAATTCTCACATCAGTGTGGTGATGGGACATGGGTTCCTGATAATAGTAGCTTAGTTTATTGCTGCTCAAAAAAACTGCAAACAATTGCAGGAGTTCTGCAGCCATACACAAAACATTAATTTTGCCTTCTATTCATGTCAGTTGCATGCAATAAAACGTACTGTTGCAAAGTACATTTTATTAAGAAAAGCCAGGAGCAAACTATTTTTGTCATCTATGCTTTTGTCATTAGATGCCAGTATTACAGCAACAGGAAAAGTAAAAACATGACAAATATTGTTTTTCACCACCCATTTCATATTTCTTTCTTTTAATTTTAAGTGCCTGCAGCCAATAAATACCAAGTACAGTAAGTCACCAAATAGGAGTTGGAAAGCTTAATCTATCCCTTAACATAACATTCTGATTTTTCCATTAGCAATTTTTCTGCGCTTTTCACTTATGCAGAATGGACCCCCCTCCAAACAATAAACTGGCCAAGAATATATTTAATCTCTTATCCTATGTAAAATGCTCACATTAACACAGATATACAATCACATAATGAGACCCATTCCCAGAATTAATACGGGAAGAGATGCATCCTTCTGTTTTAAATGCGACTATTTTTCTCATTCACAAAATGTCAGGTGAGAGTTTTACTTGCTGTGTAATTTCAAGAACAAAGAGCAAAAAAAAAAAAAGTCAGGAAAAAAGTCTCACTTGCGAAATATGGTTGATTGAAGATTCCATGCGTCGAAGTTGGGATGCCTGGATATCCAGCATTTGGAGAACATTGTTGGCCAAAGTGTTGATCAGATAGGCTACGCTTGCTAATGACTGGGTTGTGTAGGCTTTGGTTTCTTCCAGGGCTCGCTGCTTGTCTGCTGACTAAAAGCAGAAATAAAAGGTTTATTTAGTAAAGTGTCTCACACAAAGATTCTTGGAATGAACTCTTTTTGCCTGTCTTTAAAGGACAAAGAATTATACAAGTCAAACTAATTTTACATCAAAGTTACCATTTTTCCTCCTTTCCATTCATTCCACAAAAGATACTAACTTTGTATTTTAAGAGTTTCTATACTTTATAAAAGGAATTAAGCTAGTATACAACATGCTCATCTTTTCCTGAAATACTTAAAAGTGCAACTTTTTATACTGCATTTTAGAAATAAACTTCAAAAGCACTCTGAGATACTTATTCTTTAGTTCTTCTAAACTTCATACTATTTAGAACTATTTAGTTCTTCTAAACTTTGTACTTCAACTAGATCTCATAACAGCCTGCAAGGATCTGCCAAATACCATATTCCTCACCTATCCCAATTATTTAGACCTCATTAATGCCAAAAAATGGTCGTTCATAGGGAATGAACTATAATTATTCCCTTAAAATGGTAGCTGAATAAAACGTGAGAGGAATCATTTTTTAAAATAACAAGTCTATGTTTTCTTTTTAAACATGTTTTGTGCTTTTTCACATTGTCAGTATTTTCTTCTATGAAGAATTAGTATGATCCATTTTTCTAGTAGTAGAGCAAATAAAATATTTAGGCTATCAAGCCAGGAAACATCCATGAGAAGTTTAAAAACATAAAAAACATACACACATTTCAAACAACATTAAAAATAATAAGCTAAGAGTCTAGTCGTCAGGGTTCTGTGTTTCTCCTTGAATAATAGTTAACAACACTAAGATCTAATTCAGCACAAAGAATACAGATTAAAGCACTGGTAAAACATACAATTAAGATACTAAGAAACTTTCCAGTTTCCAAGGCTTTGGAATACACTGAATTTCACTTTAGCCACCTCACAGGCTGATGGTGCTGTTTTTAAAGCAGCAGTTGACAAATGTTCTCTACTCCCACCTGTCATGATAACACTGTGTTTCATAATTTCTTTTCCTTTACATATTATTCACAGAGGTTGGGTATCAAGATTCAAGAAATGTGCTTTTATTAGAGGGGGAATATAAAGTCATTCTATATCTTCCAGTACAAACTGAATCTACCATCCATTTTATTACATGTACTTTGGCAAACACTGCTAGTAAGCATATCTCTGTTTCAGGAAAATATTTCTTACAGCCCAAGATATTTCCTGAGACCTTGTAGTAGGACTCTTAAAAGAAGATTGCTAACTTTCAAGAAAAAAAAAAAAACACACACACATGTAAACACAGATACAGGACTTCAATTAAACGCTCACATGAAAGATATTCAATACTTTTTCTTTCCTGGCAACCTCTCCTGTGCCCACAAACAGCAATGGTAACTTGGTTGGCCTGTTAGCGTGCCTTCTTCTTGCAGGCCACACCGGTACCACCTCCTAGTCTGCTTCTAGAAAGGAGGATAGCAGCAATTGCTGTTCAGCCATACAGGAGCTCCCACAATGGTGCAGGAAGGGAGGAATGCTGTACAAGGTAAGCATTCTTGCCTGGCTATTTCTTTCCCATGCAGCAGAAGGAACCGAAAATTTTAGGAGACAGCTTCCCAGGGTACAGTATGATGATGTTCCCCAACAGAGCACGCTTGTAAAGGCTGCCTTATATCCATCTATAAAGAAGTTAGATAAATGCTATCCCCAGACCTCATTTAAGAACTCATGACTTTTAGCCAGCTGGATAGCACGTCTTTTATACAAAAGAGCTCCAAACTCAGCTTAAGGACTCCCAAATGAAGGAATACAGAGCTCTCTGCCTCTACTCTCACACTGCTCGCTTATAAATGCACTCTTTCTTTCCCTCTCCCTACTCATAACCTCAGCTCAGTCTGCAAATACCACTACAGCAGGCATACATACCACGGGACACCTTCACAGCTATTCAAATAATTTCTGAATGGCAATAACAAAAATGACCAGAAGCTTGCCAGTTTCGCTCTGCAGCTGCTGACAAAGTCTATTTATAGAAGCAGAAACTGCTGATTTACATTAGCACAATGTACATCCAGAATAGCTGAGCAAAAGCCAGCAAACACAGTATTTTTTCATTAATAGCCAAAGAACAAAAGGAAAACAATCTACCATTTTAGAAGTTAAGAGCCTCTGCTATGGTTTTACCACTTAAAGAAGCACAAATACGAATATGTGTTCAGAGCTAGCCCTTCCACTGATGTAACCTAATAGCTAAATTCAAGTCACCCCCATTCACAACAGTTCAAACCAACAAGGAACTGGCTTCTCAATGTTCAAACACATTAAAAATTTCATAAAACAACAATCCTATAAACACATTTGGAATGTTATTAGCACAAAACCCCTTTTGATTGAGAGGTCTAGTTTGTGTATTTGGCCAATAACCTGAACTACTATGATTTGCTCTGCATGCCTTTATACAGAGCCCAAAGTTCTCTGAAGCAAACTGCACTCATGCTTGCACAGCAAAACTGAAGTTTGAACTTTCTCCCTGTATACTGAAAGATGCAGAATGTGTTGAATTTTCAAATTAAAATGATTATTTGAACCTACTATTGTCAAGCCATTTCACAACAACAACAAAAAATTAATTAATGACAGCATTTTAAAACAATCAAATTTACCCTAAAAACTTTCAAGAGATGAAAACCTGGGTCTCACACAATGACTAGGAAAAACAGTCTGGAATACTTAGAGCAAATCTAAAGTTCCCCTGTGGAGATGTAAAAATACATGTCAGTTAAAATTTAACTTGAAATGGTAAGTTATGTTTAGCTGGAAATCCAACTTTTAATTTGGAAAGTAGATTTCCAGAGATGGTATCTTATCATATGCTCCTATGTAACAAGCTCCCCATGTGTACTCTCAATGGACATCAAATTATATTGCTTACAACTGCTGCCGTGCTCAAACCTAGCAACGGATTTAGAAAACTAAATGGTACACTGATAACTATCCAAGTATGTAACTGTGTAACTAAATGGATTTCTGCAAATAATATCATGATTTCAAGTTATCAGTAAACCAAATTAAAACATAACCCTCATCAGACTAAGATCTAATACTCTGATCTTCAGGACACCAAAATACCAGCTTCATACCCGACTGTTAGGCAGGCAAAAAGTTATTTCAATATCTACACCTACCAAAATTCTCTAAAGAAAGATAAAAATACTAATTTGGCCCTAATCAAACTGATAGACTCTCTACAGTAGTTTCAGTAACCTATGGAACACAGAATATTGAAAACAAGAGAAACATATTCTGCTATGTTCATTATAACAAAATAAAGACACGTTACCATGAATACTTCAGGATACTAACCAGAGCGCTTGAAGCCCTTCAGTTCTCAGAAACTTTGCAGTCAGCACGATCAAGAACTGGTAGCCAAGTATGTTTTCAGTGCCCTGACTTAAATTAAATGCCATGAAACAGACCATTGAATATCTCTCCATTTTAAAGTTTTTAAATATCTTTAATCTAGCACTCACACACATAAAATTCTGCATGCCTATGAAAAAAATTGACATCATAACATCTATACACACACACCACTCTTAGGAACACACATTGCTTCCAACTGTTAGATCAGCTTGATCTGTACTTCTTTTAAATGGATATTGTATTTTAAGAAATCAAAGCCATTGCTTGACAAATAAGTCTTCTACAACACTGCCAACATAGGCAGCCTCTCATTCCTAGTCCTAACACATCCACTCAGTTGTGACAGTACTGTTATTTGTAGGGCCACATGAGTACCTAATCTAGTTTACAAATAACCTAAGAAACAAAAGGTTATTTTAAACTCCAATCAATTCCATTTTCTTCCCTGCCATGCAAACTTGCAAACACTTGCACTAACAAAACTAAGTAGATACCACAAAGGAAGAGCAAATCGTGTTTGCTGAATTATGATTTGAGCAACTAATCATTATGGAGACTCGGGTTCTAGTTTCACCAGCAGTACCTGTGGAAGTAGAGGTCCCCAACACAAATTGCACACTCCCTTTGCTGTAGTGAATTAGACCAGGAGGCGAGTCCCAAATGAAAATTATCTGATCCATAAACCAAATTATGAGTTTTCCCTCATCCAAACCACTGCATAGCCACAGAAACACAAGGAAGCACACAATCAAAAATAAGGAGGAAAGAACTATCCAGAGTTGCTCTGCTTGCTAGAGAAAAGGAACGAGTACTGGAAAGTAGACATCACTGCAGTTTTGCCAGCCCGCCACTACCTATAATTTTTTTTTCCACAAGACCTGTGCACAGTGCCTCATTTGTTTCCCTTAATATTTTTCCATTAACTGTGTTAACAATGCTGCTGCATCTCCACCTCTTAAACTTCCAGCTTCAATTTTTCCAACAATGTTAAGAAGATACTTGAGCGTCACAGCTGGATCATCTTCACAGCCTTAAAAAGATAAAATGTTTGGATCATTGATGTCTTCTGTGCCCACGTTATCCAATTTACATGCAGCAGCTTAGGATCTGTTCTGTTTATCATTTTTCTCCACACAATGCACACATCAGGTGGTCCATGCTGAGTCACAAAGCAGCATGCTTTTCTCCTTCTCTCAGTAGTAAGTGAGAGCACCATTTTAACTCACCACAGAGAGCTCATCTGATGCTCCTGCCAGCCACACATGGGGCGAGGATGGTGTCAGCTACTACTGGGAGAGGCTACCTCTGCTGCAGCAGGAAATGGTATCCTATGCACCTAGACACAGCAGCAGCCATTGCTCTGCCCAGCTCTCCCCTGGAGAATGTCTTCCATTTGTAGGAAGCACCCACTACTAAAACAGTTGTTTTGCCTCCTCCAGGAAACAAAACAAAACAATAGACTAGATGGAAGTATTTCACAGGATGGATCCAGTCTGAGAGCCAGGACATAGACTACAGCGACTACTCTATAAGAGCTGGGCTTTTAGATAATAGGAGAAGATCAAAGTCATTCAAGT